TTCCCCCAATGCTGCTCCCCCTATTGACATTCTACCCCCCCATGGCATTTACCCTGCCCCTGCCCCAACCCCCCAATATACTTTTATAATTGTTACAGTTGTAAATATGTATATATTGTTATTATTTTATTATTGTTTCATTCACTTCTCATTTTGACCTACACTGTTGGAGCTCGGAGCTTAAGAATTTCACTGCACCCTGCAATTACATCTGCGACCCTGTGCATGTGACTAATAAACTCATCTAATCTAAACTATAGAAGTACCTGCCCTGAGACCACCTACATCAAATACTTGGATGAAACTTTTATTCTTGACACATCCAATTCTGGAAAGTTTGACCTCCGGTGTAAGAAGAACTTCCTTGAACATCCAAAGACCTCATCATCAACTTTAGGAAGGTACCTTCAGCTCCAGAGACCAGAGCATAAAATAGGTGGAGGAGTACAAACAAGTACCTCGGCTCAATAACAAACTTGGGACCCAAAGGTGGGCGAGTGTAGTAAAACATTTCAATCCATACTGTATTTGCACAAGCTAAGAAGGTTAAATGTGAATCAATCCGTTTTGCAGTCCTTTTTATAAATGTCTGATTGAGCTTGTCATCACATTTAGTATAGTTGTCTGGTTTGGCTCGCTCACATGGGCAAGTCAAAATATCTTGAGAGATGTGCAGGTCAGTGGAAAGATTGTAGGAGGAAAAGCGCTCGCAAGAGGGGGAAAGAAATAGCTTTGGATTTTTACCGGCATCAGTATGGCTGTTACTGTACATCTGTTATATATTTACTATAGTTTTGCTACAACTGAAGTTCCTTCTGCGAAACTTAAAGTGATTCTATTTAATCTGTCTTTTTATTCCTTGTAGGCCTAAGTTTTTCCTCAATTTGATGTTACATTTTACTTTACTCATCTCTTGCTTATTCCTTTTGCTTTCTTCCCTCTGCACAGCAGCATATTTCAAAGTATCTTGTCTGATAGTTCTCTCCATGTGTCCTTAACTTTGAATTGAACCAAGTATACTTTTAGTAACTGCATACAGATCAGGTACCTGCTTTTATTGGGTATAGGCATCTATGCATGTAAAACATTTCTCCTTGTTTTTGACATCATTGCCATGGGACATTGTATTGGCCAATAATTGTCTATTTGCAATCTGGTTAAGGTAAAGACAGATCAACCAAATTACAACCAGCTGAAGATGTCTTTTTCATGACTACATCAAGACTGGACCTCTATACCAGGCGGTGTCAGAGGAAGGCCCTCAAAATTGTCAAAGACTCCAGCCACCCTAGTCATAGACTGTTCTCTCTGCTACCGCACGGCAAGCGGTACCGGAGTGCCAAGTCTAGGTCCAAAAGACTTCTCAACAGCTTCTACCCCCAAGCCATAAGACTCCTGAACAGCTAATCATGGCTACCCGGACTATTTGCACTGCCCCCCCACCCCATCCTTTTTACGCTGCTGCTACTCTGTTAAGTATTTATGCATAGTCACTTTAACTCTACCCACATGTACATATTACCTCAACTACCTCAACTAGCCGGTGCCCCCGCACATTGACTCTGCAACGGTACCCCCCTGTATATATAGCCTCCCTACTGTCACTTTATTTTACTGTATATATAGCCTCCCTACTGTCACTTTATTTTACTTCTGCTCTTTTTTTCTCAACACTTTTTTTGTTGTTGTTTATTCTTACTTTTTTTGTTTAAAATAAATGCACTGTTGGTTAAGGGCTGTAAGTAAGCATTTCACTGCAATGTCTGCACCTGTTGTATTCGGCGCATGTGACCAATAAAATTTGATTTGATTTGATTTGATTTGATTTGACTCCCGGGATACGGGAGTCATATTTTGATTGTTATCTGGGTTGTTTTGTCCACTGTTCAGAATCAAATAATTAAAAACATCTTTCTAGAAATGTATAAAAATGACTTATTTTCTATATATCCTGACTATGATGGCATTAACTCCCAATTAGGCCTAGGGACAACTAATACTCACAGCACTGAAATGATGAAAGATCCCTTTCAGTAAGTATGTCAACAGATACGCAATTTGATATGATGCAGGTACTAGTGGGCAAGTCACTTTCTGTCCAGCATGCCTCTGGGCCAGGTGATTATTAGTCAATTTGAGATAAATAACCAATTTAGATTATGGAACATTAAATGTCCTTTTCGTTATGTAGTTCCTGTTTGTAATGGAATCAACAACAACCCTGACGTCTATACCAGACATGGAAACAACTTTGGCATACAGGTAACATGTTACAAGCAATACACAGAGTGGCAATTTAAATTGACTTTATTCTTCTCATGTTGCATGGAGAATAAAGAAAGGCTAAAGCACTACAGTCAATAGATTTTCAGAAAGGTCCATCCGAGAGCTTCACTCTTCATCATGTCCTTTCTGTGACAAAGAAGATAAATAAAGGTTGAGAAAATGTTCTTCTGTATTTTCTGAAAAATGTCTGATTAAATACTGTTCTTCATGTAAATCTTACCATCAACTATTCCAATAAATCATTTATAAAAAACAATTTTGCTTGCCATAGTACAGAAAGTGACCACTGAAACCAAGATATGCTTTTGAAATTATGTTTCTGAACAATAATCCAATTCATATTTGATCCTGTCCTATACAATATTCAAAAAATATATATAGAATGTGAATAATAGTATGGCTGTTGGACATCAAATACTTACAGAGCTATTGAGGTAGAGGCGGTTGTCATACCGAGGGAATTTACAAATTATGAATATTTTCATTAAAATAACTGACCTGGGAGTCAGCATCACAACTCTTGGCCTCACTCCTCATCCTTTCCCTTCTGTGACAGAGAAGATAGATGGATTATTAGAAGATTTGAATACTACTGTGTAAAGGAAAATATTTTATCCTGCCATATACTGTGTCCTTAAAATATATGATGGGAAACTTCAACAGGTATGTGTATTATGGTATGGAATACACTATGAACATCATGCTGTCCCCATACAGATACTAAACATGTATTCGCTGCACTGGCACCCCAGTGGTGGAACAAGCTACCCCATGACGCCAGGACAGCGGAGTCACTGACCACCTTCCGGAGACACTTGAAAACCTACCTCTTTAAGGAATACCTGGAATAGTATAAAAGTAATCCTTCTACCCCCCCCCCATTAAAAAAAGTAATAATAATAATAATTATTATTATTATTATTTGGGTGGTTGTCCCACTGGCAATCATAAGTTGAATGCACCAATTTGTAAGTCGCTCAGGATAAGAGCGTCTGCTAAATGACGTAAATGTAAATGTATCTGATTCTCTTTACTGTGTAATAGCCAACTCTAAGAGTTTACCAAATGTTTAAAAGGAGCAATAACGTCCAATTAAATAATTAAAAAAACACTAATACATTTTGCTCTTCAACTACAGTATTACAGAAATGAGTTACAACTGTTAAAGCTGTTTGCCGCACAGATTCAAGGAGTGATCTAAAACAATTCTAGATTTAGCCACAATTAAAAGGGAACTCCTCTCAAAAAACATTATCAGCTATGTTGGTCCTCGTCCGGAGGTATTATTGATATCATTTTTCTATATTTTAAATACAACGATTTAGCCAAAATGTTCATGGAAAATAAATCCATGACACCATTCTGACTATTAGCATTCAATGAAAATGTCCCTTGATCTTGTCCTGTATAGTTTTAGAACACAATAGATGGCAGCAAATGAATAAACATGCATTGTTATCAATTATGAATAACAATATATATAATGATAATATGAATAGCTAGTTGATGAAATATGCCTTAACGCTTTTCAAAGTTAAGGCTTTTTTCGTGTACAGTGCCTTGCGAAAGTATTCATACCCCTTGGATTTCTTCACATTTTATTGTGTTACAAAGTGGGATTAAATTAGATTTTTTATTAATACAAATTGTATACTAAAATATAGTTGTGGCATTAATATTCAGCCCCTTTGTTTAGGCAAGCCTGAATCATTTCAGGAGTAACATTGTGAAATAGGGGTTGACATGACGTTTTTTAAGACTAACCCTTCCTCTATCCCCCATACATACATCTGCAAGGTCCCTCAGTCAACTATTGAATTTCAAGCACAGATTTAACTACACAGACCAGGGAGCTTTTCGAAAGCCTGCTAAAGAGGTGCAGTAATTGGTAGATGGGTAACAATAACAAATCAGACATTGAATATCTCTTCAAGCATGGTCAAGTTAATATTTTATACTGTGGATTATGTATTAAACCATCCAGACACATCAAAGTCGTCCTTCTGAACTGAGCTGCAGGACAGGAATGAAACAGCTCAGGGGTGTCAACATTTGGCCATAGGTGATTTAAAACAAGTTACAGAGTTCAATGGCTGTGATGGGAGAAAACTGAGGATGGATCAACAACATTGTAGTGACTCCACAATAATGACATAAAAGAAAAATACAAATATACAGAACAAAATGAATACTACAAAAATAAAAAACACAGCAAAGGAATATACTTTTTTTGCCTAAATGCAAAGCTGTATGATTGGGGCAAGTTACAGTTTTGACTTAAATCGGCTTGAAAATGTATTGCAAGACTTGAAAATTGCTGTCTAGCCATGATCCCTAACATCTTGACAGAGCTTGAATAATTATGAACAGAATAATGGGCTAATATTGCACAATCCAGGTGTATACAGCTCTTAAAGACTTACCCAATAAGACTGACAGCTATAATCCCTGCCAAAGATGTATTGACTCAGGGAGCTGAACACTTCCATTTCTATTCATCTTTGACATTACAGAGTATGCATAGATTGTGTGTGTATTTTGTGCAGATCCTTGACAAAAAATTACAGTTAAATCTATTTTAATTCCACTTTGTAACACAATAAAATGTGAAGAAATCCAAGGGGTATCAATACTTTTCCAAGGCACTGTACATTGGGACACTACAGTACAAGGGAAGTCTGCAAATGATCCTTTAGGACTCTTGAAAAAGTAACTTTACTGACCTTGGAGCCGGCATCACGACTCTTGGCTCTCATCTTATTGACCTGAGACTCAGCAATATCAGCCCTCTCTTCTGCCTCATCCAGTTCATGCTGAATCTTACGGAACTTGCCCAAATTGGCATTGGCTTGTTCCTCCTGTGAAAAATGTTAAATATAATTAAAGTTTCTAGGATAAAAAACAATTTGAAATTTACAGATGCATCGGTTGGATGATAGAAGGTTACTTACAGCCTCCTCTGAAGTTCTCTTGTAGGATTTGACCTTCAGCTGCAGTTTGTCCACCAGGTCCTGCAGACGGCTCAAATTCTTACGGTCTTCCTCAGTCTGCACACAAAAAGAATGGAAAAAATAGTAATACTGTATATGTATCTTACATGTGATTCTGAGCATCTTAAAGTTAATTGTGCCCTGTCAACTTAAAGTTTATGATGTACCTGGTATGTGAGCTCCTTGATGCGTCTCTCATATTTACGGACTCCTTTCACAGAATCACTGCTCCTCCTTTGCTCCATTTCCACTTCACTCTCTAGCTCTCTCACCTAGAAAGATATGATCAACGTTAACACACCATTTCCAATTACATTGTTAGTTACCAGTACTTTCAATATTGAAGCTAGAAATATGACTAGAAATATGAAATGTGACATTGAATTAATAGAAGAGAATGTAGCTTAGACACATACTCTGGCCTCCAGCTTCTGGATCTGCTTCTTGCCACCCTTCATGGCGATTTGTTCAGCTTCATCCAGGCGGTGCTGCAGGTCCTTGATGGTCTGCTCCATGTTCTTTTTCATGCGCTCCAGGTGAGCACTGGTGTCCTGCTCCTTCTTCAGCTCCTCTGCCATCATGGCAGCATCAGTAATGGCCTTCTTGGCCTTTTCCTCAGCATTTCTGCACTCCTGCACAGCCTCCTCCACTTCATTCTGAAGCTGGGATGTGTCCCCCTCCAGCTTCTTCTTCTGGCTCAGTAGGCTGGTGTTCTACACATGTTTATGACAAATTATTTGTATATTACCTCTACATACCTCAAGTAGCAGACATTTAAAGATGGAATCCGTAGTAGGGGAAACAGCGGCAACCGCCATTGTTATTGTTTTTGTTTTGTTGACAAAGCAGAGTAGAGGAGCGTCACACAACATGTTACAGTACATTTTCTGCTGTTTTATCGTGCTTGCAATGATATCCAAACGGAAAAAAACAGTGTTTGTCATTTGCAGTAACTTTTGTTGTTGTAATATCGCAAACAGACGTGGCAGTTTCACCATTAAGGATTCCAGCTTTAAGGAGAACACTAATTGTTCTATGTTACTGTCTTACCTGCGAGTGGAGCAGCTGAACTCTCTCACTAACATCCAGCAGTTCCTGCTCAGCAAGTTTGCGGCCTCTTTCAGTCTGCTCCACCAGGGCTCTCAGCTCATCCAGTTCAGCCTGAATCAGGTTGTTGCGTCTCTCCACAATGGCAATGTTCTCCTTCAGGTCATCATTGTTACGAAGAGCATCATCCAGCTGCAGTTGAGAATCCTGTAGAGAGAATTGATTTTACTATATTTATTGTATTGTTTCACAGTGTGGTTTGGCTTTTTCTGAATGCACAAGCAATGTTTTTAATTCAATGGTGTGGAAGTAATACCTTCAGATGGGAATGGAGACCCTTAAGTTGCTTCTGGGCCTCGGATGCCTGCCTGTTGGCCTGGCTGAGCTGAATCTCCATCTCATTGAGATCTCCCTCCATCTTTTTCTTCAGCCTGAGAGCTTCGTTCCTGCTGCGAGTTTCTGACTCCAGGGAGCTTTGCAGGGTATCCACAACTCTCTGCTGGTTCCTCTTATTCATCTCCATTTCTTCATCCTTCTCCACCATCTTCCGTTCAATGTCAGCTTTCACCTGACTGAACTCCAGCTGAGCTCTCAGGATCTTGCCCTCCTCATGTTCTAGGGAGGCCTATGAGAACACAGCCACCCATAGTTTGTAAAATCTTGGTTAAATTCTGGTACTTTCACAATCTGTAAATGTTTTCTATTCTCACCTCAGCTTCCTCTAGAGCAGACTGTATCTCAGCCTTCTCCTGCTCTAGCTGTTTACGGATCTTCTCCAGCTCATGGATGCTCTTTCCTCCCTCACCAAGCTGCTCAGTCAGGTCAGAAATTTCCTCTGTGGAAAAATATAGTTGTACATCAGAATATTTTTGGGATAACTGATCTCTATAACATATAAATATTTTATTGACTAAGTTATATAGGCCATTAATTATTATGCTCTAACCTTGGAGGTTCTTGTTCTCCCTCTTCAGGGTCTCCAGATGATCCAGAGACTCCTCATAAGAGTTCTTGAGTTTGAAGAGTTCAGTGTTGAGAGATCTGGCCTCTTTCTGGGAGCTCTCCAGCTCAGTCTGAGACTCCTCAAACTTCTGCTTCCACTCAGCCAGGACCTGAAAATCATACAGGTATTTTAAGTAGTTTGAATACAGTGTATGATTAAGTACTTTATTGTCCATTAACTTACAGAGAACGAAAATGTGTCTTTATGCTCACAAGCCAACCCCCTGAGACACACAAGGGCTGGAAGCAATGGGTTAGGGGGTTAAGTGCCTTGCTCAAGGCCACAACGGCAGGTGATGGTAGGATGTAGGATGATGCCAGCAATCCTACGGCTGCCAGCTCACTCCGCACCAGGTTTTCTGGCTAGATTCTCTAACCACTGGGCCAGTGGTTCCCAACCTTTTTTGAATCATGGCACACTTTGACAGGATAAAACATTCTGCAGCCTCCCGAGTGGCTCAGCGGACTAAGGCACTGCTTCGCAGTGTTGTGGCATCACTACAGCCTTGGGGTTCGATCCCAGGCTGTGTCACAACCTGCCGTGATGGGAGTCCCATAGGGCGGTGCACAATTGGCCCAGCGTCATCCGGGTTAGGGGAGGGATTGGCCGGGGGGGATTTACTTGGTCATCGTGCTCTAGCGACTCCTTGTGGCGGGCCGTTTCTTGTAGTTGGCCACCAGGTTTGCACACATCTCAGGAGGGATTTTGTTCCACTCCTCTTTGCAGATCTTCTCCAAGTCATTAAGGTTTCGAGGCTGACGTTTGGCAACTCGAACCTTCAGCTCCCTCCACAGACGTTCTATGGGATTAAGGTCTGGAGACTGGCTAGGCCACTCCAGGAACTTAATGTGCTTCTTCTTGAGCCACTCCTTTGTTGCCTTGGCCATGTGTTTTGGGTCATTGTCATGTTGGAATACCCATCCACGACCCATTTTCAATGCCCTGGCTGAGGGAAGGAGATTCTCACCCAAGATTTGATGGTACATGGCCCCGTCCATCGTCCCTTTGATGCGGTGAAGTTGTCCTGTCCCCTTAGCAGAAAAACACCCCCAAAGCATAATGTTTCCACCTCCATGTTTGACGGTGGGGATGGTGTTCTTGGAGTCATAGGCAGCATTCCTCCTCCTCCAAACACGGCGAGTTGAGTTGATGCCAAAGAGCTCGATTTTGGTCTCATCTGACCACAACACTTTCACCCAGTTCTCCTCTGAATCATTCAGATGTTCATTGGCAAACTTCAGACGGCCCTGTATATGTGCTTTCTTGAGCAGGGGGGACCTTGCGGGCGCTGCAGGATTTCAGTCCTTTACGGCGTAGTGAGTTACCTATTGTTTTCTTGGTGACTATGGTCCCAGCTGCCTTGAGATCATTGACAAGATCCTCCCGTGTAGTTCTGGGCTGATTCCTCACCGTTCTCATGATCATTGCAACTCCACGAGGTGAGATCTTGCATGGAGCCCCAGGCCGAGGGAGATTTACAGTTCTTTTGTGTTTCTTCCATTTGCGAATAATCGCAGCAACTGTTGTCACCTTCTCACCAAGCTGCTTGGTGATGGTCTTGTAGCCCATTCCAGCCTTTTGTAGGTCTACAATCTTGTCCCTGACATCCTTGGAGAGCTCTTTGGTCTTGGCCATGGTGGAGAGTTTGGAATCTGATTGATTGATTGCTTCTGTTGAAAGGTGTCTTTTATACATTAACAAGCTGAGATTAGGAGCACTCCCTTTAAGAGTGTGCTCCTAATCTCAGCTCGTTACCTGTATAAAAGACACCTGGGAGCCAGAAATCTTTCTGATTGAGAGGGGGTCAAATACTAATTTCCCTCATTAAAATGAAAATAAATTTATAACATTTTTACATTTTGTTGTTGTTATTCTGTCTCTCACTGTTCAAATAAACCTACCATTAAAATTATAGACTGATCATTTCTTTGTCAGTGGGCAATCGTACAAAATCAGCAGGGGATCAAATACTTTCTTCCCTCACTGTACTCATTCAAGGGTTTTTCTTTATTGTTACTATTTTCTACATTGTACAATAATAGTGATGACATCAAAACTATGAAATAACACATATTGAATCATGTAGTAACCAAAAAAGTGTTAAACAAATCAAAATATATTTTAGATTTGACATTCTTCAAAGTAGCCACCCTTTGTCTTGATGACAGCTTTGCACACTCTTGGCATTCTCTCAACCAGCTTCATCAGGTCGTCACCTCGAATGCATTTCAATTAACAGGTGTGCCTTGTTAAAAGTTAATTTGTGGATTTTCTTCTTTCTTAATGCGTTTGAGCCCATCAGTTGTGTTGTGACAAGGTAGGGTTGGTATACAGAAGATAGCCCAATTTGGTAAAAGACCAAGTCCATATTATGGCAAGAACAGCTCAAATAAGCAAAGAGAAATGACAGTCCATCATTACTTTAAGACATGAAGTTCAGTCAATCCGGAGAATTTCAAGAACTTTGAAAGTTTCTTCAAGTGCAGTCGCAAAAACCATCAAGCGCTATGATGAAACGATTAGTTACCGGAGTGTAACTCCAGTTCTATGAGTGGAGCGGAGCCCCATAGGGGAGCTCTGCTCCTATTGGTTTACCCACTGCCCTAAGGCAGCATCAGCCTGAGACAAAATTATGCACACACCTGCAGCCAATAGGAGTACAGGTGTCCCTATAAGAGGGGATGCCTCCCCTCAATCAGCCTCCCGAGATATTTATCTTCAGCGAGACTAGAGAGGGTCGACAGGGCCTTAAGTCCTATGAGGCTCCGCTCCACTCATAGAACTGGAGTTACACTCCGGTAACTAATCGTTCTATATCGTGGAGCTCCGCCCCATAGGGGAGCTCTGCTCCTATTGGTTTAAGGCGGAGCGTAGCGCTCCAAAATGTACTCCCTGCCGAGCCCAACACTTCCCATCGAAATGAAAAGGTCAGGCCTAGCAATGGCTGCAAACCAAGTCCCGCAGTACTGTGACCACTGTAACCTTACAAGTGTCACCATATACTGCGTCATCGGTTAAAAACCCGCCCCACCTAGTCCAATGGCAACACCAATGACTAGTGGGCAGATCACCAGAATATAAGCCATACTAATCTGTACTAGCAGATAGATGGTACCTCATATCCTGTTACAATACTACCGACCACTAATGGAATGACACAACGTGTCACTCTACATTGTGTATACGGTAGGCCGCCTCACTCAATCAATGGAACTCCAGAGATTAGTGGGCAGTTCCCAGAACATGATTCATACTAATCTGAACCAGCAGATAGATGACATCACATTCCGTCAAATAAACATGACCGGTCTAATAGCATCGTAACCAAGTTACTACTATTATCCCTCATCATGCCGCCCCACTCCAGTGAATCACTGGTGGGCAGATCAATACATGCCCTCTACTGTACTGAAACCTGTCAGTCAGGAGTCATGCCAAAAATATGTCCTTCTATCAGAAGCGGACCTGATAGAGACCTTGTCTCTACAGTCCTGCATTCCTCTCCATTTAGCTCAAAGTCTCCCTTCAGCCACGCTGAGTACAGACTGAGCCAAAGAGTTAGAAGACATATCCAAGAGATAGAAACTGATAAATGGAGACGGTGTTGACCATGACGCCGCTCTACATATATCCTCTACCCCTGTTCCTCTGAAAAGGGCAGTAGAAGCTGCTACTTCACGAGTGGAGTGAGCTCTGATACCCTGAGGCAATTGTCGCCCCGCTGCCTCGTAAGCTGTCTTAATGCCCTCACAAAGCCAATGAGACAGACGCTGTTTCGAAAGTGGTCTCCCTAGTGCAGCCGCACCGTGACACACAAACAGCTGAGGCGATGACCTAATCGCTGCTGTGCGCTCGACGTAACACGCCAAGGCGCGTACCGGGCACAGGCGATGGAGCCTTTCCTCACTCCTCTCTCTATGAGGAGGAGGAGAAAAGGCCCACAGCTCCACGGTCTGTGATCTATATGAACTCCTAATAACCTTCGGCACAAATGCCGGGTTAGGACGTAACACCGCTCTGCTCAGATCGCCATTAATGGCTAGGCAGTCGGGTCTCGTCGAAAGAGCACACAAATCACTAACACGCTTAGCCGTAGTCAAAGCGAGCAACAGTGCTGTCTTAATAGACAGCATCTTGAGGGGTATTTGATTCAATGGCTCGAACGGCGACTTACATAGCGCTTCGAGTACCAAAGCCAAATCCCACTGAGGAAGCGTGGCTCTAGGTGTTGGCCTAAGCCGCCGCGTTCCTAAAAGGAAACGTTTCACTAGAGGGTGGCTAAAGACATTGTCTCTGCCAAACCCCTCATGACAAGCTGAAATCGCCGCGAATAGATCCACCTCGGCTCTCCCGAACTGTTCCCAAATTTGGAGAAGGTTGATGTGGCGACTCGAAGGAGGCCACACACCTCCTATCGCTTGGGTCTGACATGTCCCTCCCCATCCCGTCAGAGACGCATCTGTGAACACTGGGATGTAGGAGGACACTTTGCCTATCGGGACTCCGTGCGTGAGAACGCGCGAGTTTCTCCAATAGTTCAGATCTGCACTGAGCGAGAGGGGAACCACCACCAACCGATGACGTTGATGCACTGGGTCTAGTCTTAGTTGGGCGAACCATCGCTGTATCCTGCGCATGTGCAGGAGTCCCAGCAGAACCACAGAGTGGGCTGACGACATGAGACCCAAGAGTGACATGATCGACAGCGCCGTCACCGTGTGATTCGGACGACACTTCCTCAGGGCTAGCAACAAGGCTACCCTTCGAGGGTCCGAAATTCGAGCCCTCATCGTTACAGTGTCTAGCTGTATCCCCAGGTAGACAATCTGATGACTGGGCCAGGGGGCGCTCTTTTTCCAATTCACAGCGAACCCCAGACGTGTGAGATGAATCACTGTCTGTGTTGTGTGAGTGATCGCCAGCTCTGCTGACAGGGCGAGAACCAGTAGGTCGTCTAGGTAGGCTAATAGCCGTATTCCCTGACGACGCAACGGTTCCAATGCCGCCTCCACACACTTGGAAAATGTGTGAGGTGCCAGGGCGTACGCAAATGGCATCCTCGTGTATTCGTACGCCACCCCTTGAAAGGCGAATCGCAGAAACTTCCTGTGATGCGGCTGTACCGGCACATGAAAGTACGCGTCCTTTAGGTCTATGCTCATACAAAAGTCTCCT